TTTAATAAGATAAATCATCTTCAGCTCACTATACGTCCCCACTTAGGGGCTCGGAGCCTACCCTAAATCAAGGGTGACTAGGCCACAGTTAACCACGCTGGCTAATGCGGGTTGGTTGACTTCACACATATCTTTGAATTTTTACTTAGATATGTGCCGGTTGCATCATGATGTTTTCCTTCACCGTAAGAATGTCGGATGAATGTACATATGTAAATTGGAAATCGAAAAACACATTGGTACATGACGGGATTCGAACCCAGGACCTACATATTGCAAGTAAAGTGCTTGAGCCAACGACGCTCTTATAAGATAAAAGTGTGATGTAATTTAGAGTCAACACAATATCAAAATAATGCAAACAATAAAAAATGTACAAGTGAATATGATCTTACTAATTTTATAAATGCGAATGTTAGTCGAAACGTAGTTTTAATATTACGATTTGTTTTTGACAGTTTACAATATGCGTAGCCTGATTATAAACTGACATAAATGTTTTTTTTTATGAAAATACAGGGCAAATGACCTATGGGACCTTTAATGAAAAGGGATCGCCCTTAATCTTAATTAAAATTACAACTAAGTAAATTAAATTTTTGTAAAAATTCGTTAGTCTCAATGTTATCATTTTCATAACAAAATTATATCCAAACATTCCTATCTTGTAAAATTATTGTTATGTACACAAATATTATTTAACATAATACTTTTATCATAATATATAAAATAGAATGATCAAGAATCATTGATTATGTAATTATATTTTTTTTATAACACGTGAAGTGTTGTTTATAAAATGGACTGTACAAAAAATGATAGGATATTGAATGTGTTTTTATATCAACTTAAGACGAGAATAACTTAATTAAATTTTATACGAACACGTGTTTAAGAGTATAATAATCTGTAGTTGTTTTGCTTTATAGATAACATTGTTTTATCAATCATGTCATAGTGACAAGTCGAACAAACATTATATGATGTTCAAGGCGTTTTTGTTATTATTTTGTGTAAATCTGACTAATATTATTAATGCAATATTAGATGGATATTTGTTTGAAGGTATCTTCGGAACGGATCAATGGTTTTTGATGAAATTTGTCACCATGTAGAACATAGCCTCTAACACATAGGCTACTTATTAAGTTTTTTTTAATTCCGCGCGGACAGTGTCGCGAGCGTTTAGTTACATATAACATTTCACATATAAAATAGTACGCTCTACACGGGTACAACCACAAAAACTGCGGCTGTTATTCAAACCGTACGCAACTTTACAAATAAATGTACAGAAAGGCGTGAAATAGATATTTCTTTGGTTAAATTAGCATAAGTTATGGTCGCGCTCGTGATAACGTTCATAAGGGCGAAAGAGATGAATGGTGTCATAAATCTCGCTGAAAATATTCAAGCTGCAGCGGAGTTAGAATCCAGGTCTTTTCCGGCGTCGAGTCGAGTCGCCGTAGACTTTCTCACAGGCGAGATTGGTGTTGATAAAAAGCTTTTGGTGTCAGCTGTTGAGATTGTACCGGGCGTACCTGTAAGCGCGTGTACTGCACCTATCTACCCGACACGGGCTATGGGCTAAGCAAACACAGAGAGAGAATGGCCCAAACTATAAGTGACATGGTTATTTGAAGGATTACATACAAAAACGCGCGTGAAACTGTCACGTTCCAATAACTATCCACTATCATGGGCTCATGAATGAGGTGCTTTGTAGACTAATTTGATTTAATAAGTTAAGTCTAATTTAACTTTAACTTAAATCTAAGCATCATTCGAGATACAACTGGTGTTTGTTTTTGGCCAAGTGTTATTGCGGCTGTCACAGGATGCTTAAATTATATCGTTGCTATAGTTCCCACTATTGTTGATTTGTGATTTTGCTTATAGCATAGATATACGCTTCAGCCTTACACTTGCGCCATAACCCATTTACCTTTCACCGCGGAGAGATATTGTCCGTGCAGCCGCGATCCTACGCCTCATTACCATATACTGTGGCCGTGACAGCGGCGCAATTAACTATCTGTTTATTGTTGTTGAATTATAAACGTTGCGTGCTATCACTCCTGTATATGGCTTAGTTCGCTTAACTCGCTTAGCTAGCCCGATGGGAAAGCGACATGCTAGATAATTATGATAAATATAATCATAAATGTGTTCTTTGGTTGTATTCGTTGTTGAAATAATGATAAGAAGGAAAATTCAATATTTCTCTTCGTAATGTTTAGATAGAAGTGCAGCTAATTGATTTTTTGTTCGCAGAATTATAGATATATTTTTTAAACGCGATGGACTTTGACTGAAAGTGATATGAAGCATGCGAAAAACAGGCGAAGCCATAATTTTATGATTTTTTTGATTTGATATTGCTTTGTTTCTGGTTACTTATTTCTATAAATTGCAACTAATCTAAATTATGCATTTTTAAATATTTGAAATCTTATGTACATTTGCTTGTGTGAAATGAACGTGCAACTAACGCATAGTATGCGACACTCCTCGCATTTCCTTACAATAACTCTGCGCCTGCGCCTGCGCCCGCACTCCTACCATTACCGTTTATCAGTGTATGACGCCCGCGTGTGAAATTATTAATGGCTAGTCTACGGTGAAAATGAGTTATTAATTAAATGAGATAATCGCATAGAACTGTACAGTATTTTACACTTTAAAGAGGCGGTTTAAAAGTTACCTATTACAAAAAAATCCCAGATTAAATAATGTTAAATTCCGTATGGAATTACTGAAATATTACTAATTAATGATAATATTTGTCATCTCCTATGTTATATTTTGGTAAATTAATTTTTTTTTAGAAATTAGTTACCTAAATAAGTTATAAATAAAATGTCATTTTATTAAAATTATATTCAAGTAAAGGGAGTGTACTCGCAAACATACCAAATGTTCGCACGTAAATTTGTGAACGTTCAGTTAATCCTACGGTCTAACACAAATGTCAAATTAATTTATATTGTTTATTGTCGATGCGATTGCGCAACGCTGATCCAGCGCCAGACAATTGTTTGGTATTTAAATCATCTGATCAGCTGATCACCGTCCAACCTTTCACGATGTTTACATAAAACACGGGAGGGCCTCGTACGTGCCCGTGTTAGCCCTTTCTATTATTGCTTATGTAAGCCCTCGCGAAATATGTGACTACGAGATGAGATAGGGCTGAAAATTTATTTTCTCTTGTATTGTTACTTAGTACTTTTAGTTGTCCTTTTCTTTGTATTGCTTTAGATTGCTTCAGAAGTGGATAGTATAAAAAAAAAACAATATAACGCCAATAACCCAGAGGCGTAGGAAAAGACCACGGACAATTAGTAGGCACGGTCCTGACACACCTCTCTCGCTTCTTCTAAATTGATACATCTAGGCATACATGCATATCGGTTTCTGGTGCTTTTAATAGCTCAACCCAATTTTTAAATATATAAGAATTATTCCTACCAATTTATTTATATAATTTAAAAAGTAATAAGAAATACTGGCTCTTAACAGGCACGACTCATTAAAATTTACTGTCTATTTAAAAAAAAAACTAAGTATAATTACGAATATGGCATTACGAGAAGCATTATACAAACGCGAATCGACGTATGATAATGAAGTACGCGCCAACAATTTATTGCCGAAGGAATCGCAGTCGCTACGGGCCTGTGCCGGTGTATCGAATAAAACCTTCATTTTAGTGCCCACGATGCTTGTAAAGTGTTTATGTCCTCACGATATTTTAGATGAACACACAATTGTCTTGTCCCTACCATATAGGATTGTTTTCAAGAAATATTGTTTTGCCTTATGATGGTATTTTAAGTTCTCTATTTAATCGTAAACTTTTTTTTCCTATAGCAATATAACTGTGATGTTATTCCTTATTTTTCACTACTAAATCATTACCTAATCTAAACCAAATCGACAAATCAACATCATTGTAACCAAGATTTCTACATTTACAATTATATTTTTCTAACGGCAATCGATTCAACTTCGGTAAATCGTCTGCGCAATAAACTTATAAATCTCTTTACATGCAGTCGACGTGTCGATACTAATATCGAAGATCATTTATAGTTACAATGATATACCGAGTTCGCCTCGTAACAAGAGACACTAACATTGACAAATGACGTGTATGCGCCGCGCAATCGACATGATAAAAAAACCTAAAAAAAATAAACGAAAGCCGTATCGTATCTGAACTGTTGGAGATATCTTCGAGTTGTTTTTTGGTCGATCGTGATAACGCGAGTGTTCACGGATGTCGTAATTAGTCTGTCATTAAGTCGAAAGTGTTCTTATCTTGGCGACCGATCGTTGTAATAACGACGAGCGAGACAAGTATCACTTCACCACTTATGTTCTCCTAGTAACTTTGATTGTATTTTGGTTCCTTGAGCAACTCATGGTGTGATTTGCCAGTGAAGGATCCTAAATTGTGATTAGACAGATATTTTGAGTAGATTGACATTGTCTTGAAAATTCTAGTCATTGTCTAGTCTCCTGTGAGACCCAAGGAAGCTAAGCCAAGTCTTGAGTCCCTTAGCTGGCTCCACTCGATCTGCCAATCTAAATTATTTAAGAGTAGCAATTTGTATATTTTGAAGTTCATAATGTTTTCAGTTGGAAGAGTTAACTGCACCGACCTAATTAGGATTAAAAAAATCTGTGATAAATCTCACTACTCTGTTGAAAGTTAGTTTCAGATAACTAAAAGTTATTGTACCTCTGACCTAAATCCTTACCCTTTATCAATAAATTCTATAGTAATTGTTGTAAAATATATCGTGAGTGAATTGATCGGTGACGAATTCGCGAAAGAAAATTTGTCGAATGCGTGACTTTGAGGCGTGTTCGACTCGGAGTGTTAACATGCGCATATATCACGGTACACCTGCTAGGCCCCGCCCATTGAAACCCGTACCCCGCGCTCCACAGCACCCCGCCGGTCCCTTCTTCCGCTGCACCATCAAGCTAACCTAACTTGTGGATAACACGTTAAGACGTCGTCGAGAACGGACGTCACTATCGCTGAAAAGTCTTTTGAACGTTTTAAGTTATTAAAATTGTGTGTTCTGTGCAGAAACTTGAATGGTATAAAACTTTGTTGTGACCAACAGTGTTTAGTTCTGAAGATAAACAAGTAAGTTGATTTTCAATTTAACGGAAAATTTTAGCTTAACTAAGTTAATTTTCCCGGTTACAAATGAATGAATGAATTCAATAAATTACCTTAATGTATTTCAACGTAAGTGACAAAGTCCCATCATTATATGAATATAATTTGCCTTTGACCATCACTTAATGTTGGAAGTCGATGAATTATAATTAACTAACGTGACATTTAATCATTCACACTGGATGAATTATTTTATAACGTTAACTAAGCAAACTGATGTATGAATTCCTTATTTTCAATTGCTAATCTCTAGAACTACTCGAATTAGGGTTCTTAAAAATAAAGTGAAATCCTTTTAGTAGTTTTAGTACATTTTAAAACATTACTATTTCAAATTGAATTTATTACGCTATTAAAATCATGAATTCTTGTTATAAGGTAACATCTAATTTACAAAAGGCATTTTAAGGTTTTATGTTTTTAAAAACTTGCAATGAATTTGTATTCTTAAACTTTGCAAGGACCTGTTGAAGCTTCAGGGGCGGAGCTTTCAAAAATATTTGTACGCAAGCGCGGTTTCTAAAGTTTTATGCAACAGGTTAGTGATAATTTAGACCTATTTAACTAAAAGAGTTACATCTCTTAAGATGTCTTTTGAGAGATGTAACTCTTTTCGTCGAATGGTACATTTCTAAATGATGTAACAAAAGTTAGACATTGCGTGCTTACAGTGTACTTACAGGTTGATTATGATGTAAATTGTTGTTAGAGTTTGAGAGAAAGTTGTTATGGATAAGCCGCGGCTATGATTACTATAAATGTAACGTTTATACACGTAATAGCGTCTTATTTTGACAAATGATGGGTTTAGTATATCATTTTAAAAAGGAATATATTTTTGCGTAATAAAATTGAAGGCCATGTCCATGTTATCCTTATTTTATTCTATTTCAAAACTGTTTTTTTTAAAACTGTTATAGTGCTGCTTGGAAATTTTGTACATTTTTAAACTTTGAAAGCAAATGATTTTATTTACAAGTATTCTTATTAATTTTGTTAATAAGCTTAACAAGAGCTTATGAAGCAACACGCACTAATACGACGCATCCAAAACATAGAGTTATTCCGTTATGTCGCACGCTTATCTCAAAGGAAATTGAATCATCTAAAAAGAAAATTATATTTATCTAGACGCGCCTCTTTTTAAATTCAATTATTTTGAATTACTATTAAATATTTTAATAGGCTGCTATTAAAATATACTCCTCGAAAAGTGTTAAGCCTGGGAGATATCGTAAAATAAATTGATTATTGGTTATATTAATGTGGTTGGTAGAGGATATTTTGTTATAATATTAATTAGGATAGCAATACCCTGCCTGGCTCCATAGATAGCGATGGCCTAGCAGATAACGTGGAAACTGTGACGCCCAGTACTGCGCGCCAATGTTGCATTGTTAATGAACAATGAACACTGTTATAATGCCGCTCTTGTAATTTAATTTTTTTTCTAAATATTAACAGATATTTTTTGTAAATTAACTAATATTTCTTTTACCATTTCAACTAAGCTCTAGGCTTGTGCTAGGATATGGTTTACGACAATAGTCGAATGGCGGGATTCGACCCGGACCTCGTGATCTAAAATCCGACTTAACCATTAGGCTATTGTCGCTTAATTTAATTTACTCGTTTCATTTGTTTTTTAAAGCCGAAGCATACTACCAGAGAATGCATCTTAAGGAATATTTTGTTGCCTGTCATATAGTTGTATAATTGAACATTGCCGCGACGAACGTTCAGACCAAAAGAGGTTATGTTGTAAACATTTTTTTCTAATTTACTTTTATTTTATTTTATTTTTGTGGACAACGCATTGAGGTACTAATGAAATACGATAACTGGTAGAAATGCACCGAGCAATGATCCTACATCACACTCGCCAATATCATTAATACCAATTAAATCCTCCTAGAAGACTACTAATTGGATTTTAGATATTGTGAATGTCTATTGCATGATTGCTACTCATTGATGGGTCTAGTCTCTACAATTTCTGTTCTTATTTCACTTGCTTCATTTGTTTTGTGTTGCTCACTAGACATCTTACTAATATTATAAATGTGAAAGTTTACATGGATGGATGAATGTTTGTTTGAAGGTATCTCCAGAACAGATCTTGATGAAATTTGTAATTTATATAGAACATAGTCTGGGAGAATATGTAGGCTACTATTTAAGTTTTTAATTACGCGCGTACGAAGTCGCGGGCGACAGCTTGTATTTGGATAAAGCAAATAGTAATATTGCAATAAATAAGTCCCAAGTTTTACTTTTAGTCCTTCGTTCATATGACTATAACGGAACAGCATTATATTTACAATTTGAAATCCATAGATTATGCATGGAGGCGTATTATTATCGCAAATTTTCTCTCGTAGATCTAAAATAATACAATACATGAACACGCTATCTAATAATGATTATAATCATAGTTACAGCAATTCCAATTAAGCTAAGGCGTGAGCCGTCGGGAACATACTGCAAATCGCATGGATGACTTTTCTATACTTCGAAGATGTAGGCGGGATTTTAATTAATACAATAGTATATTCATATTATGGTGTTTCTTAACTGTTAACACTTGTATAAGAACAATAATTCCATCTCTCGTGTAATAAAACAGAGGTAACTTACATTCTCATATAGATGTCAAGACGGCTAAAAAAACACGGAGGCTATGTGACGGTACTGTTAAAAAATTATTAATGAAAATGGAAAAGAAAATGAAGCAATTCTTACTTTTTTTTAGATGGTAACATTAAAATACTAGTGGAGATATAAAGGAAGTCTAAAACGACGATTCTAATTCCCCGATCACTAATTAGTCCGCGTTGGATCGCGAACGGGATAGTTAGCAAATACGCTTTAGCAAGTCCATGCCTTTAACCTCTTTAACAGCTCCGACGTGACTTTCAGCTCGAATCTCGACTGCTGATCTCAAATCATGGCCTAACTGGACCGACTTAATGTGTCGTTGATTTTACAAGACGACTGTACTCCTGTCTCTGATTTTGTTTAAATAATTGTATATGATATACTGTTCAGAAACTCTGTAATTTTTTGAATCGAAATAAAGTTCTCTGTATCTCTTAAATGCCCCATATTGCATTTAATAAACTTGTGTAGTGTTTGCCTTGTAAATTTTTTATTCTTCATGTGATTTGTAATTCTGGTTTTTCCATAGTTATTTATATAGAACGACATTGAAGAGATAAACCGTGAAAATAATCTGATTAGATAGGTTTCCGCAAAATAGCAATGTCTTTTATGTAAAATTGTAAATTTTAAGATATCGAAATTTTAAGGATCCGAATATTATCTAACTTCTTACTGATATAAATGCGAAAGTTTAAATTGATGGACGGATTATTTGTTAGAAGGTATCTCTAGAACGGTTGGGTGGATCTCGCTAAAATTTGGCGTACATGTAGAACATAGTCTGGAAGAACACATAGACTGCTAACTAAGTTTTTTCTTTTCCTTTGGAAGGAGTCGAGGCCGACAGTTAGTTTGTAGTTAATTGTTACACCACAAACATACATATTTGCCATAAGAAATGTCTCATGATAATTATAATCAAAAACTAATAGAAATCATTGATTATTCACTTATTGAAATCGATACACACTTAATGAACCGCTGCGAAGACGGGAAGTCTTCAATTACATTTAATATCATCTCATATTCGCACTCGTGTCTGTGTGTGTCTTTATCTGTGTATGAGTAACATCCGGCGCAGGACATCTGTCCCGGTCATTTAGAATCGTCAGCTGATGTCATCCTTGATCATTGTATCTTTGTTGCACTTATCACTTCGCGGCACTTTCACGTCTGTTTCAAGAACTGGCTCGAGGAATGTACTGAATGAATGAACTGATTGATAAATGTTTAAGAATGTTTAAGTGGCTATAATGAAAGATGTTATTCTAGATATTTTAGATAATTTACGGGATATGTGGTGATACGATAAAGTTTATAGGAATAACGATTGAGGTATTTCAAAAGAAACTAAAGTTGAAGAGGATTGACAAGTTTTTTAGTTAGAAGAAAACCTAATTTAGTAAGATGATAATGCTAATTGATGGGCATGTGTTTAAGTGATGATCATAGGTAAGGTTAAATGAGATGAAGCCTTGAAAGAAAATGTCACTCACAAAGTGACAAAATTGATGTTTACTGAGATGTAACTGAGTTAATGAAATCAGAACTTAATTGAGTTTAATCAAAGAAATGAGGTTTTAACGTACTGAAAATCCTGTCTTAGTTTAGTGCAATATAATCAAACTTTAGTTGCTCTGAGTGTCAGGTTTCAAATTAATGGCATTTGGATGACAATGTCCTTCTACTTGCGGACACGTTGAAAATAAATTAGGTATATTTCTTTTTTAATGTCGTATGATATTTGATTTTTTGTCCAAATCAAGTCTTAAAATTATATAATAATAATAATAAAAATATAATAATAATAATAAATAAACGAATGCGGTTAACATATAATGTTAACCGCATTCGTTTGATTGACTCAATTTTACTCAATCGATCTTTGAAGTATTGTTTAGATTGTGATTTATTATTATGATACGACTGTTTCGGGTAATACATTTTGTGAGTAGGGTATGTAGCTTGTCAGATGGATGCAGTTGCTATTGGCAGTTCTTAAACAATGATCTATTTGAACAATACCAAATATCTGACATGTGCCAACATGTTACCTTGTATTGTTTTTTTGGTGTCTTATCTAAATATTTTTAATTCTTGAAAAGTCTGTTTATGTTTATTTTGGTATAACATTTTGCTCATAAATTTATCGTTGTTGTGCTAATGTGACATATCGTTTAGTAATAATGTATAGCTTCATTGCGCAGTATGTCGCAAGCGCACATTACTTGTTCGAACATGTTCAGTGCATTTGTAAATGTTAGACATGATTTGTTGATAATTAATTCTGAAGCAGTATCATT